AGACCTCACGCTCGGTCAATAAGCCTTTATTATTTGGGGTTTAATATTATTTGGGGTGTAACATTTGTTTGTGTTGATATGGTCAAGTACCTCTAAATAAATTATTCATAAGTGCTAAAATTTGCACTGATGAATTGAGTTTGGCTAACGGATCGAACGCAGGTTTGCCAATTTGAAATCAGAAATACACGCTGTCCTTTCCGCAAAAAGAACAGTTAATTTAAGGTGGCTTGATATATATCAACTCATCACAAGTCCGTTATACAAGAATCGCGAAAACGAATTCTTACGCTATTCGAACAAACCCGTGTGACCATTAATCGTGTCCGCGGGAATATTAAAGAAAGGGCTTACATATATGGGTAAATATCAAAATTCTGTATTTTTTTGGCATCTCTTCTTGCCCAAATATACATAGCGATAGGTTATTTTCCAATGAATTAATTTCCTATGCGCGTGTGTTACCATAGTAACGAATTACCTGTCGCCAAAACTGGCATAATTTGAAAAACTAAAAAATATTAAAACAGATGAACATCGTGATAGATGCTGCAACGTTTAAAACTGTCAAATTGTTTTAACCCTAGTTTTCTCCATGTATTCAATATAGGTTTATATGGAAGCTTACAGTTTAAAAAAAAAATATATATATATATATATATATATATATATAAAAATATAATATATATATATATATATATATATATATATATATATAATATATATATATATAAAATATATATATATATATATATATATATATATATAAAATATATATATATATATATATATATATATATATATATATATATATATATATATATATATATATATATATATATATATATATATAACTACAGACGGTACCGTTTCGACCTTATGGGCCTCATCAGTGTAATGCTGATGAGCAGGATGAAAGTAACTGCTATTTACAGTTACCTTTGATGCCTCACGATTGTGGGACATCAAAACCATGCCAGAGCGCTCAAACTGCAATATATATATATATATATATATATATATATATATATATATATATATATATATATATATATATATATATATATATATATATATATTGTTATGGTGCGTTATTTATGCGTCAAATATATTTTCCAATAAGGTATATTTTCAACCTTTAGGCTTCGGGTTCAAATTATATTAACGCTACCGTAACACAAATAGCATGAAACCTTATACCTTTTATATATTTTATTTACTTTCAACAATATGAATTAGCGGCTCTATAATGTTATAATAATATAGTAATCTTAATATATCAACTTATCTCTCTATTTGTTTGAGCTGAGCACAACTTTGAATCTTTATTCTTTATACTTTGTATTCCGTCGTCTTTAATAATAATTATTCCACAATATTCCAATGTTCTTCAGTTTACTTGACGAGGCTTAATTATCTAGCCTTTTAATTATATACTTCAGCCTTTGTTGGCTTATGAAGTATTTTAGCCTAAATGGCTCTTCTCACTTCACTCTCCGCTCTCCCCTCTCGACTCTCAGGTTGTGCTCAGCTTTTATAATAAATTTTAGAGGAAGAAATCTGTAACTATGACTAATTTCCTCTACGCAATATGTTTGTCAAAGCAAGTTCTAGCAGTGTTTATCAACCACAAAACTATGTCCTGTTTGCGTGGTTTGTGGTACTAGGCGTTTCCCGTGGTTCGTTAATCTCTCTAAATATTTGCTTATTCATGCGAGGAAGGTTGCCTAAGGTCTTCCTCTTATAATTATAACAGTATACTGAATATATAGTATTGAATATATAGTATTGAATATATTAAATAACATGGTATAACACTGCCATGTTACAATATATATATATATATATATATATATATATATATATATATATATATATATATATATATATATATATATATATATATATATATATATATATATATGAGTTGCGTCTGGGTTTCAACATGTTAAATCGTCGGATTTAAGCCAAGTTTTCTCAACTCTTATTCTCCAGCGAAAGGAAAACAAGAGTTGCACGAGAGTTGACTGGATATCAACAAGCGCACAAGTCAAACGAGCAAAAACTCTCATCAAAATTGAACCAGCTCAAGGACAAACTGTATGGGATTTGATGAGAGTGCATGAGAGTCGACGAGAGCTGCCGGTCAAACAGGAGCGAGTCTTGAACTCGAATGTTTACGCAAATAAGTATAAAACGAAATTAACAGTGATAAAAGCCTAATCCTAAAATGAAGTAGTTTCAACCATGGTTACGATTCTGACTTGTTTTATGGGCAAGCTTCGTTCAATGTTATTTCGTATTTTTCATTTGTATATTTTGTGTGTATGAAAATTATGACCTACAGCTGTCATTTCGTCTCACGACTCTCACTCTTGTTTGACCGTGGCGTTACGCATTTGTTATAATCTTCATTCTTACCAAAATATCCTCGTAGTAAACCCAAGGCCCATTCTTCATTCTTGTCATGTTCATTTTCAAAGAGCTGTTACTCAACTGGCAGTTTACAGTGTAGATACTACTTGGACTTATTCTAAAGTTATAACCATAGCAATTGTCTTGTTCCGTGCAGAGAATGTGGCATTCTCCCAAACGATAAATATTGTGACTTGAAATCAGGTTAAATGGATGTAGTGCTTGATTTTCTGTGGAAAAAATTCAAGTTCCCTTAAAATTACTATTCAAAGCATATAGGCTACGCCTTTAGAGAGTGCAGTTTCGAATTGATTGAGCTATCGATATTATTATCTAGTCTATCTATCAGTATGTGCAAACTGGTCAATTTAAAACACACAGAAATTAAATTAATACAACGCGAATTCAAGTAACAATAAAGTACTGAAAAAACAAGTCAATTAGATTTTACTTTTATTAAATATGTCTTCTACTCTGATGTGAAAGGAAAATTTTAACAACGGGACACGCAGGCGTAACCATGCTTATGCGTTCGGTTTTCAAAAAGAGAGAAAAAGTAAACCTAAATAGGTAATCTAAATTCGAATTCGATCTATAACGTAGCCAATTCAGAGTAACTGAGGTATATGACTAGAAATATAGATGCATTACGACCTACACCCTTGACCCACATTACGGAAACTTAATTCAAAAACTAAGTAACAGAGAGAGCACAAGTCAAATCTACCAAGCAAATCCGACAAATACTTACCCATGCTAACGTTTTTGAAATGTTTCCACGTGCATGGCTTGCCATCTCCCGAAAAAGGTCTTTGTGCATCGGCCATGTGCAGAATTACCAAAAACAAGCGGACCAAAGTTAACATTTTCAGATAAATTGATGATTCGCAAACATAATTCCCAAAACGTTGTGCCAACTGAGTGAGATTGTATTATGTTGTACTGTTTTTATACTCTCGGCAGGTGTATGGAATCGTAACCCAATTTAATTAAAAGCATGTTATTTTAGTCAAGTGATAGGTTTTAGCGTCTATACTTAACATTGCAATCCTAAGGACAGCGTGTGGTCTAGGGCTCTTGTGGCTCTCTAATTTTAATTAAAGTGTTTCATAAAAGCTTTTCGTCTCAATTGTGGGTTTATTAATGCAGTCATATTCGCTTTGTATAATTTTGTATACTACCTGCATGCAACATAATTTGATAAACTTGAAACTTTGTACAAAATGTGTAATATTTTGTTTTGTACGTTAACAAAATAGATATAAATAGTTATGAGGGATGTTGGTTGCAATTTGATTATTCTGCCAACATTTATTTCCTGCAATATGCAGTTTTCTGTCCATAAATTGGTTCGCATGTGAGAAGAGATGTATATCACACCTCTGTTTTTTGCATGGACCTCGGTCCTTCGTTGGTCAGTCCATAGCCTACTAAAAATACTCGGTCTGATATTTCAAAGTACAGATCTCACGCTCGGACAATAAACCGTAAACTTATTACTGCTTAATTCTTTTAATTATCTAGTATTTAATTATTAAAACATTGAGCGAAGTAGCTAATTACAAACAGTGCCATAACCTTCAGAGTACTGCCTCTATAATCACTCATATTATTGCTTCGACAAATCGTACGGTCAGTAAATAGAAGCTAAGGATGCGCGTATACTGTATATTAATCATTCATATTATATATTGCTTCGTTCTTTAAAATCATTGCGCGAACTCAATAACTCCAACCATTATTTTATAACCTTTAGTTACAGTATATAATTCAACAATACTGGGGCAATGGCAGTTATGCCATTGCACCAAATCTTTGCTCTCTTTTTTGTCATTCATTACATACTGGTACTGTTCCATCTGAATGGAAATCAGCTGATTTAAAAACCAATTCATAAGAAGGATAAGAAAGAACTAGCTATGCTAGTATACCTATCAGTAGTAAATGCTGACTTGCTCCTTATATCAAAAACGGCCTCATCTTTCCATATTAACAACGCCAGTTGGAATACGATCGTAAGCTCCTAAAGCCTGATTCTCATAAGTCGCCGACGTCGGCTATGCCATTGTTTTAGATCAGTGAAGAAGAACATAGACAAAAGATTTTACTCATCAATGATCATGGGCGTACCGGAAGGAAAAAATTAGGGGGGCGGAAAGAAAATTGCCCGACTTTTCGGGATTCTGCCCGACTAGTACCAAAAACTTTTTTCCGGAAAATTTTTTTTGGCGATTCTTCACAAAGTTTTTAAAGGGATATTTTGATTTGAAAACTATTTTTGTATCTGCGAAGCAGATATATTGCCATCGCAAACGTACCGTATGTTAATACATAGCCATTCAGCGAAGAGCTTATATAATTGAGCCAATTCATGATATATTTAAGCCAATCAGCGATTAGTTTACATCGATTGTTTACATCGTGTAATAAACCCAATTTATCCTTTTCAAGATGGCGGGCTTTCGTGAGTGGGCAAAATGTTTCAAACAATTTCGTTAAAATTTTCAACGAATTGTACCGGTTTTCTATGGATTTTGCATTGTGTCTAACTCTGGGCATTTTTGCTAGTTTAGTTAATGCATTTTTCTTGGTACACGACTCTGAAAATCCGAAATTTGGATCTTCGAATTCCCGTGCACGATCATATTAAATATACTGAATCTGATTATAAACGAGCCAAAGACAATTGCAAGGTAAAAGGTTATAACCTAAACTACACAACGTAGTTTTAATAGATAACTACTTTATGAGAAGCATATTGGTGTCATATCAATATAAAATTTATGAGTCAGTATGCAAGGCTCAGAAGGAGCGTTCTGATTGGCTGCTTAATTAAAATTTAAAATTCAATTTTTCAAAACGTTAATTTTTGAACTATTAAAAAATAAACGTTGTTTAGGCCGAGAAAATAATATTTCACGCTTCTCTCTTATGCAACCGTGGTTGCAACCGGCGCAGCCGTCACATCGCAATGGTCGCGAAAGACGCCTTAATATACTTGTATACATTTAATACAGAGTGTGGTTGCAACCGGCGCAGCCGTCACATCGCAATGGTCGCGAAAGACGCCTTAATATACTTGTATATATTTAATACAGAGTGTGGTTGCAAGCGGCGCAGCCGTCGCAATGGTCGCGAAAAACGCCTTAATATACTTGTATATATTTAATACAGAGTGTGGTTGCAACCGGCGCAGCCGTCGCAATGGTCGCGAAAGACGCCTTAATATACTTGTATATATTTAATACAGAGTGTGGTTGCAAGCGGCGCAGCCGTCGCAATCGTCGCAAAAGACGCCTTTATATACTTGTATATATTTAATACAGAGTGTGGTTGCAACCGGCGCAGCCGTCGCAATGGTCGCGAAAGACGCCTTAATATACTTGTATATATTTAATACAGAGTGTGGTTGCAACCGGCGCAGCCGTCGCAATGGTCGCGAAAGACGCCTTAATATACTTGTATATATTTAATACAGAGTGTGGTTGCAACCGGCGCAGCCGTCGCAATCGTCGCGAAAGACGCCTTTATATATACGTGTATATGGAAATAATACAGAGTGTTTTTACGAATCAAACAATTTGTTATAGCATGCAGCTGGACTATAAATGGAAAAGATAACCATGCTGAGGCTTCATGGTATAGATATAAATTGTAGATAGCAAAAAAACACTACAAAAACGGTTAAATTGATACAATAGGCCTATCTAAAGATTAATGCCAATTAATATTGACAGTATTGTTATATTACTATTATACTTTATTAATTCTCCCAGTGAGCTTTTCAGAATTAACTTTCAGATAAAAAATCTGAAAGTTAACATGCATCAATTGCAATGTGTATTATTAAGAGCAACGCATGAAGCTAGAAAACTCAACGTTAACTATAATTAAAGAATCTAAATAGTATCAGCTATTGAAAAAAAATGCTGCGAAAGAAAGTGTGGCAAAAAAATTCGTACATGGTGATGGGATAAAAAAAATCTTGCACATAACGATCCCAGAAAAAAATTCCCTGCCAGCAGTAAATCACCTCCCCCCCCCCCTCACCCCTCAAAAGTTAAATGGTCGGCCCCTAAATCAGTATAGCTATTTCGTACGTTATAGTTCGCTTGCATTAAGCTAAAAAATCAGTGACTCTTTCAAGTTAGGAGCAGTATAATCGTTTAGAATTTTATACAGAAGAATGGACTTTATGTTCTGTCTTCTACTTTTTAAAGTTCCCCAACCAAGATTTTCAAGAACAACAGTTTCGTGACTTGCGCCAGCAATTATTATTGCCGCACGATTTTGAAATTTCTAAAGTTTATCAAGCAGTTGTGTGCCACAAATGTCCCATAGTGGAGAACAGTAATCAAAATAAGGCTGAATCATGGCATTGTAAATCATTTGTAGTGAGCTTATTGGAATGGAATTTTTGCTAGATCCAACTTTTTTC